TAAATAGTGCTTATGTTGGAGGTTTTGGTATTGCAAGATCACTCAATGAAAGTTCAAAATCATTGTATGGTAACTTATCTTATGTTGCACCTGAGATTTATTAGACAAAAAAGATTTTACTTTTGCTGCTGATATTTATAGCTTTGGAGTTATTATGTCTGCAATATCAACAGAAAAAGACCTTTCGATGGACATTGATTGTAATCTTTCACTCGCATTAGGAATTTATCATGGATTGTGGCCAGAATTTGCACCTGGAACTCCAAATTGCTATATTAAATTAGCTAAGCAATGCATAAACAATGATCCATATAAACGACCTTCTATTGATGATATTTTGAAAACATTTAATGGATGGAATGCAATAATGAAGGATTCAAATGAAAATACAAATGAAATTAAAAAGCAATTTTGAAAGCAGATAAAATAGTTAATATGTCATAAATTATCTTCCCCAAATCATTAAACCACTTAACAAATAGAATGCAATAATGAATGATTCAGATGAAATTTTAAATGAAATTAAAAAGCAATTTTTGAAAGCAGATAAAGAGTTAAACCACCGTCAATCTGATCATATGTACAATTTATCTAAATGTATGAACACAGTGAAATGCATTTGTAAATGGACAAATGAAGTAAGTAAATTAAAGATCATATGACTAGGCCTTATTTTTATTGGTTTGTGCCCAATCATGTAGTGATTGTTACATTATTACATAGAATTTTATGCTATATAAATACCCTACTCTACCTAATCTAACTTTATTTCTTAGGCCGTATGACCATAGTAAGCATGTTAAAAAAAAAAAAATTTGGGAGAGGGGGGGGACGATGATCTTTAATTTACTTACTTCACTTGTCTATTTACAAATGCATTTCACTGTGTTCATACATTTAGATAAATGAACGTTGCTACATAAGTAAATTGCAGATCATGTGACTAGTGTAGAGTATTATTACTCATGGCTGCTATAATTCCCTGTATAACTTGATTCTTCTGAATCATAATCATAACTTCTTGTTGGTAGAAGCATTGGTAGGTACTATGCTTGATCAGTTGCCTATTGCAAGTATTGTTGCGAAGTCTGCACCTGAATTCTGAGTGTAAAATGCTGCTAACGATCTTGCATCCTTGGCCTTTAGGTCCAGAGATGCTTCTTTTAAAATTTCCTTAATCCATCTCGCAATCATATCTACTGAGGCAGGGGAATGGGTGTTCATCGAAATTAGGAATAAGTGCTCTCTCTGTTCCTTCATAATTCGCTAGGCATTAGTACGTTTAAGAAGTGTATTAACAGCATTTAGTGGTGAGATTTCTGGTAGTTCTTCATAGTTCTCTATGTATACTCTTTTGATTTGTGATTTGTTGCTGCCATGAGTGATTGAAATTTTATGTTCCTTGGGGTTCTTAATATTAAACATCATGCCATGCTCTGTTTGTACTTGAGAAGTAATGTCAATTCTGGATAAATCTGAGGGGTGACAAGCCATAGTGATTGCTAGGAGAAATGCGACCTTCTGTAATAGTAATAATATATTCATCTTCTCATTATGGCCAAATGAACAAATTTTGTCAAAAAATGGGACAAGGGCGACCACGTCATCATTATGTAGAGGAGGAGGGTTGGTGTTGTAAACTCCTTTCATTGTCTTGATTATTGTAGGGTGTGAACTAATTGGGGAATTATCAATCCAATCATGTATTTCACTAATTGCGGATTTGTATCTAGCAATTGTGTTGTATGCCTTTCATGCCTTTACTTGGTCGTCAAAGAATTCGATTATGTAATTTATGCTGCAAGTAATGGGATCGGTTTGCCTTTTACTACACCAATGTATCTATTTTTTAATATTTGAAGATACTGTCTTCGAAGCATCCTTGTCATATGCTGCGATGTAAAGTTCGATAGCCTTTTCTGAAAGGCCCTGGTTCTTGAGACGTGTTCTGATATATGTGCTGCGCATAGGTTCTACCTGTTTACTCGTTTGAACTGATCATAGTTGTTGGTTTGTTCTACTGAGTTCCTGGGGAGAAGAATTGGGAAATCGTCTAGAAGTGATAATAGTGTTGGAAACCAGAAAGCTGTTTGCCATAATGGGAATATTAGCACGATTGTCACCCTTTCTCTGATTACCTTGCGTAGTACTTTGGGTAGGAGGACCCATAGTAGGTTTGCCCAAATATTCCAACCCTTCCATAGAACTCGAAGAGCATCTGTGGCTAAGGCATTCAGGTCTGGTTTCCAGAAAATGTAACTTAGAGTGAGGTGGTTCTGATAGTTGGCAAAAATATCAAGGTCCCTCAGGCCTCATTTTGTTGAATTCGATTAAATGTTCTCTTGGAGATCTTTAATCGTGCCTGTCAACCTGTTTCCGTAATGCCTGGTCTGCTAGTGTGTTGAGTTGTCCTGGAATATGTTCTGCTCTCAGATTCACCTGGTGTTTGATACATTCTAACTATATCGATTCTGCTAGATAACTCAATTGAGTTGAGGTAGTTCCACCCTGATTGTTGATATATGATACTGTCGTTCTGTTGTCACTCCAAATGCGAATGGTTTGGTTGTTTATATGCTTCCATTTGTTTAGCGTTTTCTTTACAGCTAGGAGTTTCAGATAATTGATGTGTTTCTGTCTTGTTTTTCCTGTCCATGTTCCAAAAATCACTTGGTCGTTTAGAACTGCACCCTATCCTGATTTGGAGAATCTGTATAGATCACTGTGGAGTGGTCGTCAAATGTGATGTTTCTTCTATTCCATTTTGTAAGATTTTTTATCTAGCACTCTAATTGTTTCTTGCTCTCTGCTGATAGTGCTACTCTCGCATTCCAACCTTGGCATCTCAGAGCTCTGTTCTTGTTTCTAAGTAAAAGCTCTTGAAAAGAGCTTTACTGGTAAAAGGGCTTTCTCTGTAGCATTCATCCTGCCTAATAAGGTTGCCAGCTTGCGAATGTGGACTGCTTTCATAGCCTTCAGTTTCTTGCATTCCCGAATGATATCTTTGATTTTTTTCATTGGAATCTTGAGAGACATGTTGGTTGAGTTCACCTTGAAGTCAAGAAATTCTATTGTTCATATTGGTGTTAATTGTGATTTTTCACTGTTTATTATAAATTCAAGGTAATCTAGCATCCCACAAACTTTCTTGGTATGCTCTATAGCTTGCTTTTCTGACTCTGCCATTATTATGATGTTGTCTAAATAGACGATTAATCTGATTCTCTGAGCTTTCAGGTGCTTTATTATCGGTTTTAGAATCTTGGTGAAGATCCTGGGACTTGTTGTAAGTCCAAAGAGTAAAGCCATGAATGTATAACATGAATTTAGAAATTCGAATGTGAAGAAGGACCTTGACAAATAAGCTAATGGGATGTGATAAAAAGCATTCTTTATATCTATCTTTGTTATGTAATTCTTTGGTTTTAGTAGTGTCTTTACTAACTGGATTCCTTCCATCTTGAATCTTTGATGTAGTACAAATGTATTTAGAGATCACAAGTCTATAACTGGCCTTAGATCTCCTGACTTCTTTGGTATAAGAAAAAGTCTTGATAAAAACACGGTTCGTTTAAAGAGATCTTGGTTATAACCCCTTGGGCCAATAGATTGTTGATTTCTGATTCTAATGCTGATCTTTCCTGATGTAAATATGTTTGGTTGGACAGTGTTTGGCATATTCTTAATGGTACTGTTTGCCAAATTAGTTCATATCCATTTTTTAATATATTTAGTATCTACGAGTCACCAACCATCCTGGCCTATTTTGAGTGAAAATAGTGTAATCTTGCACCTACTGTGTTCTTTATTGACGTAATTGAGATTGGGACTTGTTTTGGTGAAAATTTGAAGATCGTTTCCAATTGAGTGTATTATTAGACCATAAATTTTGCATATTATGATGATGGAACCTTCCTTTATTGGAATAATTTTGTTGAGATGAGCTTCTCTTATTTTCTGGATGAAGGTTTTGTGCTCATCTATTCTGCCACAAAGCATTATTGAAGAACTTAGTTTCTTCATTCTTTTTCTTAATAACATTCTTAAGTTTCTCTGCAAAAAAGGGTTCCACTTCTGATTTTGTTTGGTGATTAGGAAAAATGCATTTGATGGCATGTTCTTGTCTTTGATCATCTGTAAAAAATAATGAATTCAAAATAAGTGTTCTGGCAAAGAGCAGAGACAACTTCATATATTCCTATGTTTCCAGAGCCTGCTTGTTTTGCACATTAGGTTTTGTTTGATACAGTGTGCGAATAGTGTGTCCAAAGGTCTGAGAGCAGAAGAGTAACGATAGGATATTTTTTGTAAGGTTTTATCCACTTTCTTTGCCTTTCTTGACATACATTTAAGTAATTGCTTGTCCATAGGTAGGGGTGTAAATTTAATGTTTGCGTTTCTGGGAAAGGTTTGTAAAAGGCGTTAATACGTTTCGTTGGAAATTGTATTTTTCTTGTAAATTTTAGTAGGGAGTTTATTCATCTCTTCTGCTAGAAAAAAGGTAGTATCATTGATATTAGTGAAGTCATGTTCTTCATCTGATACTTGTTGGATATCATTTTGAATAATTATGTTATTAGTATTGGGATCATTATGAGCCATAAAGGCTTGTACAATTAGAAGTAACTTCTGGGGCTTTGAAGTTGCGAACAGCAAACCAAATAAAAATGACCTAAGAAAGAGAGTTAGATTAGGTAGAGTAGGGTATTTATATAGCACAAAATTCTATGTAATAACGTAATAATCACCACATGATTGGGCACAAACTAATAAAAATGAGGCCTAGTCACATGATCTGCAATTTACTTACATAGTGACATTCATTAAAGGTATTTATCTTAAGAATTATATTATATGATTTGTATGTTTAAAACTAATTATGTATGTTAATATAGACTTTATCAAATAAATCTTCTAGACTTATTCATAATGGTAAGCACTATATTTAACTTATTGTTTAGACCTAGCATTTGCATTTGCATAAACATAATAAAGATCACATTGCACACATGTCCTTGTTAGGTATTATAAAATAATTTTTTTATATGTTGCACACTGGGTGAAGAATCAGTCATATAACATTGAGACTGTCCTAAAGACAGAAATAACAGAATATAAAGATCTTACTAATACTAACTACTCCTAACAACACCAAACTACTACAAATACTATACTGAATTCTAATAGCAATAAATTACAAAAAAGGCATTGTGGGACCCGGATGAGCCCAGATGGACCCTGACTGCTTGGGGGCCATATCCCAATTAGGAAAAGATCGATTGCATCTGTTGCATTTGTTGCATTGATCATATACGAGTGATAGGTCACATCAGTCGCATTGGTCGCATATGACGGATATGACGAATAGCTGTGATTGGTCAGAATGGGCTTTTAGGAAGCATCAGTCGTATGCATCGCAGAATGTAAATAGAAATAGATAATTATAAATAAAGGCCGAAAGGCCCTTCGGGAAGGATAACTTCCCCTTAGCGAATACATAATACATAATAAATTGCTTAAACACTCATAGTAAAATTGCTTGTAAACCGAGTATCTTTATTAAACAGTAATTGCCATTGCTATAATATATAATCTGTCTCTAACCTGTAAGGTACAAAAAGTGTGATCACATATCTTAAATAACCTATCCTGAACCCCTCTACGATTAAGAAAACCCCATCCAAAATCTAGTTAACCACTTACCAAATCTAACATGCCTCTTTCGACCTGATTTACTGACCCTAAAGGTTACATGAGAGATCCGACTGATTAGCGACTGACTCGCTGTTTTATGATTACAGCATAAAAAACTTGGTTTAATTTATTAGGGTCAAGATTACATTACAAATCTCTAAATAAGATCGCAAGATTATAGGTTTATAAACTATTACTACTAATTCAAAGTACTTACTAATGGTTACTACTAATTTAAAGTACTTATCAGAAGTTATTAGTCTATTATTGGATTATAACATCATTGATTTACTTTGCAATACTATTTCAAAAGCACTTATAGAAGAATTACTAGAGATAGTCACTTAATCTATACAGTCTCTAATTAAGCCATCTTTATTCATTAGAGTAGCTGTACAGCATATGACGCAGCGCAAAACCAGTACGATCATACTGCGATGAATAAAATTCCGACTATTCATTTGATAAAATCGATTACTAAATACATCATTATTTTTCGAGTAAATTAAACAGAACTGAAAAAAAACTAATAAATATAAGTAAAGGAGTTATCGTGGTAAATTTATTATAACTCGTGATCCAACAATTCGAATCAAACGATTTTATACCATTCGATTCGCCTTGAAGAGGCAAATCGAATGATATAAAAATTGTTTGATTTAGATCCTTGGTTCACAAAATATTATAAACTCACTATAATATAATATCAGCATGCCACAATACCCTCTTACTTTCATAGCATTTAAATAGCAACAACTTGTAATCTATTAATTCGATTCATCTTTTCAAAATGAATCGAACAATATAAAATCATTCAATTTCGATCAATAGATTATGAGCCTAAAGAACTTAAAGAAGAAACAGGAAAGTTAGTACCAAGGACTAAACGAAGCAAAAAAAAAAACTAAACTACAACATTAGTGCAAAAGATACATGACATCAATGATGAAAAGTACTGAAATCTGAAACTGTTATATAAAGAATTTAGAAAAGAAGAAATGCAAAGTAGTGCTAATAATCAAATGAAAAAAAAAGACAAAGACATCAGACCAACAATGCCAGCAACAAATGATATACCAAAATAGATGACACCAATGACAAGAACAAGACAAAAGTACCAATTAACAACAACATGACAAACATCACTAATGGGAAGATAAAATCCAAAACTGCAGAACCTAAACAAAAAAAGAAATGCAGTAAAAAAAAAAAAAAAAATTTATGTAACCGGTAATGGTTACTGTTGAAAATTAATATTAATAATCAGTATCTTTGCATTATGACAAAATTAATATGTAATCAGTAAGTCAGTTTGCATCATAATGACATATTTGTATCTGCATAGTGAAATCGGGCATTATGACTAGTCAGTCACTTTACAATCCAAAACTTCATGTAACCTATGGTTGGCTTAGTCAAAAAGAGGCGTTTAGATTTGGTTGGTGGTTTGGGTCCATAGGTAAGTATTTCTTCTTTACTTGTCTTGCTTTTCCTTGCTTGAGCTGTCTACTAACTTTAACCCTCAATTACCTTACTACTTCGGGTAATTGGACTTATGTATAACCTCAACTATCACACTTCTTCAGATAGTTGGACTCGAGTAACCATGGCTGATCCTGGTACTTTAGGATACAACAGCTGGATGGGGGTGTAACAATATTACAGGTTAAAACAGATAATTGCAAGAAGCAGGTTTTTATAGTCTAGGGACTTAGTGATTAGTTAATGTATTAAGGGAAACATTTATGTATTTATTAATATGTAAGGAATTGGTTATTATTTTTAATAAAGCAAAATATCTAAAGGAGTCTCTCTCCTCCTTAGGGCCTTTTCAGCCTTTATTTATAAGAATATTTTATATACATTTTCTTGGTCTATATTACCATTATCTAGAGATAAGCAAATCACAGTTTTTCAAAAAATCCCACACATGACACGTGGGATCCATGTGGGATTCATTAAATCTAGGTGCCATGCCGTTGAACCTCAATTTTGATTTTCAAACAGCTGTGATCAACAAAATTTTGGCCGCATTATACATAATTTTGGCTTAAGGTTTGGGTCTGTATAATGGTAAAATTAACGCAGAAACATACAGTATTTCACTTAGGGTTGAAAATTACATTTTACAAATTTACAATATATGTAATTTCACATAAGTTTTAGTAATATGAATTTTATGTAATTTCATGGAATATATAGTACCTAGAGATAGGCAAATCACAGTTTCTCTAAAAATCCCACATAGGATTCATTAAACCATAAAATTTTAAACTCTAATTTCACTTAATGGGCAGTCATGATTTCTTTACTAAAAATTCGAGTAATTTAGTCTAAACTTTTGGTCGTTGCCATTGGTCAATCAAAATAGTGAATTTCCACGTATTTTTTGCAAGGTTTAATAGCAGTAATTACATTAAGCATGTCCTTGGTTAAAGGTTTCATCTGATCCAATTTTT